CTCAAAAATAAATAAACATTAAAAAAAAAATTAAAAAAAAAACTAACAGAGAAAGCAAAAAAAATTCCAGTTTGCATAGGTACACTATTGATATTGAAGCTCATTGTTAAAACCCTTCTAATAAATCCATTTGATTTTTGACAACTTGACTGCACAAGATAAAATTCTCTCCCTCTCTTTCTCCCTCTCCAACTTTCTATATCTACTTAGGTTTTCGTTCTTTGTTTTCCTCGTTCATATTTTTTTTGTAAAGATTTTATTTTTCAGTAATCTCTACACCCAATGTGGGGCTCGAACTCACAACCCTGAGATCAAGAGTCCCATGCTCTACCAACTGATCCAGCAAGGAGCCCCCCTCTTTCTTATTTTAAAACAATCTTTTTTTAATTTTTTTTTTTTAACAGTTATTCATTTTTTGAGAGACAGAGAGAGACAGAGCATGGGGGCGGGGGGTGTGGCACAGAGAGAGAGGGAGACACAGAATCCGAAGCAGGATCCAGGCTCTGAGCTGTCAGCACAGAGCCCGATGCGGGGCTGGAACCCACGAACTGTGAGATTGTGACCTGAGCCAAAGTCAGAGGCTTAACCGACTGAGCCACCCAGGCGCCCCGAAACAATCTTTAAATACCTTTAAGCTAGGACAAAATTACTCTCCTTTATCCTTCACACCTCATACATTTCCTACCAAAACACATCCTATTTTCCTTGTATTCTTTATATAGGTTTTTTTTTCTATACTCTGATTAATAATAGTTTTGTTTTCTTATACCAATTATAATATACCACTAATTGTATACAATTAGTAAACTGTAGAACTGTATACAATTGTAAACTGTAGAACAGGCCAACATTCTGCCCTAAATCAGCAAATCTGTAAATCCGCCATTTCATAATTTCTAGAGGTGTATGCTTTCTTACAGTACAATATTTCAATGGGACAAAAGTCATGTTCACAAACTAGCCCAAATATCTTTAGACCCTCTGTAGAAATTCAGGAGCCAAAGGGGACTATCTTCAATAAGTTTAGTAAGTAACGTTTCAGTATTTTATCTTATCTGGAAAGGATCTAGATATTCAATGAACATCCACCATCCAACTTAGCAAAACTTCAAGGTTCCAAGTTTCCCAAAAGATTTGGCAAACTATTTTTGAGCAAACTTTTCATAAGACTTAATTATGTCCAAAACGCTCACTCATAAACTTTTATCCACTTACATGTTTTTAAGTTACTCGTTTTTAAAAATTATGCTTAGATCACTTGTGAACATATGAGTCATGAAACATCTAGCCAGCATCCTAAGTTATCTTTCTTGTTGACAAATCAGGTAAGTATCAAAAGTCACAGGGGTGCCTGGGTGGCTCAGTCAGTTGAGCGACCGACTTCGTCTCAGGTCATGATCTCGCGGTCTGTGAGTTCGAGCCGCGCATCGGGCTCTGTGCTGACAGCTCAGAGCCTGGAGCCTGCTTCTGATTCTGTGTCTCCCTCTTTCTCTCTGCCCCTCCCCTGCTCATGCTCTGTCTCTCTCTCTCTCTCAAAAATAAATAAATGTTAAAAAAAATTTTTTTTTAATCACAGACACAGGACACCTGGGTAGCTCAGTCCATGGAGCGTGCAACTCTGATCCACTATGAGCATGGAGCCTGCTTAAAATTCTCTCTCCCTCTCCCCCTCTCTCTCTCCCATCCCCACCCCTCCCCACTTGTACTCTCTGAAAAAAAAAAAATCACAGACTCAAAGAACCTACAAAGTTAAACATCTGACTCTCTTCCTTTTTTATTTAGTATCATGCTTGATATAAGCAAACCATTCACTTTTATCATATGTTTTGTTCTTAGGGTTGAATTTATCATTTTATAATCTTAAACGCAGAGATAACGACCTCGTTTGACTAATCTTAACTTATGTAAGCATTTTTTTAAAAGGTCAGTTAAAGGGCATCTGGGTGGCTCAGTTGGTGAAGCATCCTACTTCTGCTCAGGTCGTGATTTCACGGTTCGTGAGTTCGAGACCCGCTCCAGACTCCTCACTCACTCTCCCTCTCTCTCTCTGCCCCTCACTCACTCACGTTCTCTCTCTAAAATAAATAAGATAAATAAAGGGGCGCCTGGGTGGCGCAGTCGGTTAAGCGTCCGACTTCAGCCAGGTCACGATCTCGCGGTCCGTGAGTTCGAGCCCCGTGTCGGGCTCTGGGCTGATGGCTCAGAGCCTGGAGCCTGTTTCGGATTCTGTGTCTTCCTCTCTCTCTGCCCCTCCCCCGTTCATGCTCTGTCTCTCTCTGTCCCAAAAATAAATAAACGTTGAAAAATGCCACATAAACATAGAGACAGATACAATCAGAGATCTTATAGCTCCTATTTTTAAATTTTAGCCATGACACAGGTACAGGAATAACAAAACTCACGTGTTTGAAAAAAAAATAGTTCAGGGGATGCCCAGCTGGCTGAGTCAGTGGAGCATGTGACTCTTGATCTTGGGGCTATGAGTTCAGACCCCACACAGGCATCGAGCTTACTTTAAAAAAAAAAAAAAAGTTAAATTAAAAAATAGATTTAAAAATAAAATTATTTTAATAGTTGACTCCAAACTATGTTTCTGGCAGATGGAACGAGTTACTAATATTTGCAAAGAAGATTTTTAAGAGATTTCACATGCCGGTTTGTTCCCAAGTGGCCCTCTGAGTATATATTCCCATTTTAGCTTAGGAGAGAAGGCTTTGAAAATAGTTCCTAACAGCCTCAGAATATCAGCCTCCTTAGGCCAATTTCTGTCCATTGAGTTCCTTTAAGAATAATAATAATGAAAAAAAAAAAGTCCTTTTAAATATCTTATCAGGCTTCAGCTCAGACAAACAGTAAATTTTTCTGGCGCTATTGAAATCTTATTATTATTATTTTTTTTTTCAACGTTTATTTTTGGGACAGAGAGAGACAGAGCATGAACGGGGGAGGGGCAGAGAGAGAGGGAGACACAGAATCGGAAACAGGCTCCAGGCTCTGAGCCATCAGCCCAGAGCCCGACGCGGGGCTCGAACTCACGGACCGCGAGATCGTGACCTGGCTGAAGTCGGACGCTCAACCGACTGCGCCACCCAGGCGCCCCTTTATTTATCTTATTTATTTTAGAGAGAGAACGTGAGTGAGTGAGGGGCAGAGAGAGAGAGGGAGAGTGAGTGAGGAGTCTGGAGCGGGTCTCGAACTCACGAACCGTGAAATCACGACCTGAGCAGAAGTAGGATGCTTCACCAACTGAGCCACCCAGATGCCCTTTAACTGACCTTTTAAAAAAATGC